CGGATGCTTTTATATATATATATATACAGACACTACAAAACAAAAACGGTGATAGAGACAACAACAAGATCTTGATACAGAATTCTCAAGATACATCAGACTTGAAACCGTAGTAAATCTTGATCAAGATCTTGATCAAGTTTTTCCAAGGACATCAAGTGCAGAGGTATCAATAAATCTTGATCAAGTTCTTGATCAAGAATTTTCAAGAAAAAAAATCTTTAAAGAACTTGTGCAGATTTTCTCTTTCTGCAAGACGTGGGTATGCGGGGCCTACTGCAGCAAAACTTCCGTCACTGGTTTGTACGAAGTCTACTAGCAGGTGGGAATTACATTTTTCAAGAAGAGCAAAGGGTATATTAATACGAAAAAGCTTTCGTATTAGGGGGGTATTATCATTTCTTTTGATCAAATTTACAGAGCGCTGCAGTAATGTAGAAATCACTCATTTTCTACGGAGTGAGAAGATGACTGAAATTCCCGAGGATGTCCCTCATGTAGTCGATAGAGCCGGCATTTTATCTGAACTCTTTACTACCTGATGAATATATTATTTAGAGCTATGTTAGCTGAAAGGTTCTTTATACTGTACTTTTTCGACAACACATTTATTTTGACGTTTAGTGTCTTGACGTAAGGTTATATTATATATAGTATTGTTCACTGTAGTAGTCCACAAATAATTGACATCCTAGATATCGGGGATCATGACGGCTTTTGAACTTAACTTTGTGTGACTGTAGTTCTTACTATATAATTCTCATCACTGTTTCGTTTTCCCATGTCATCAATACCGGCAAAATATGGTTCAATATACTGTGAGGTATACCGCCATGTAAGTCAAATTTATCCCACGGCTTACCGAGCCGTGCAGTATTTTCTCATTATGAACACATATACACGAGTTCGAAACTAGTTTCCAACTTTCTTTTTTTTTGTTGTTGTCATCAGGCGCTTAAGCGCATGAAGGCTTCCAGTAATGGAAGAAAATTTGACTCGGATCGCAGTTCAGACTTCGACGAATCTATAGCCGCAGTTACCGGCGATATTTTAAAAAAAAGCTTGACATGGATTGTTACCTTACATATTATTCAGTAGTGCTCAAATCAAACAAGGGCTGTGAATTACAAGTTATAAGGTTCTTTCATTAGTTCAGGGAAACCCTGAAATGGTGAATACAAAATGTGGCCATTTGTAACAGATTAGTCAGCATCCAAATACATAATCAGATTTTATTTACGACTGGTTATTTGGATGACTGCTTTTTGCCCGGAGAAAATTATAACAACGCTTAATGTCTTTTTTCCGTTTTAGAATTTGTATAAGTTTATGTTTGAAAACAAAATTCTTGTCATTCCACAGAAAATGAGTGATCCCTTTGCCCTTTCTGAAAAATGTAATCCTCATTCAGTGAGAAAATAATGATATATTTATTTTTAGTTTAGAAGAACATACCATTTAAATAACTGTAAAAAAATGACCAATTTTTTCGTTTCTTCATACTAACCTATGTAAGAATTTATCGCCATATTTTCTGCTTTTTCTGCAAGAAAAGAATATTTTCTTGCTTTAAAACGCTTTTACGCTGAACACGACGTCCAGAAAATCTTTGCCAACGACTTTTTTTACGGAATTTTAAAGAAGACACTACAGGAGATCCAAGCATGCGTTTATCTCAAAATCGACTTCTTCAGAAGACGGCGTTCTTAATTCTCTTTTACATACATCAAGAGTGATTTTTACTATTTTAAAATTATTTGACAAAGCGGTATAATCACTCTGTAATCGAATTGATTTTGTTTCAGTAGTGCACCGTTCTATTTCAAAACGTTCGTTTTTATTTTCGAACTTTTCTTGTATGAATGTTTGAATAATTTTAGATCGTTCTTCATTGAACAATTCATCTAATGCGCTATTTGCATTACGAGATGGTGATTTAGATCATTCTCTTCTACAATTAGACTGAGAAATGGTATGGAAAATCGAATTCATTTCAAGCAACGATGGAGTAAATGATGGCGATTTACGTACGGTAAGCTGATATTTATCAATGGTAGGGGAGAGGGTGTTAATTATTATTTGCTGTTATAGATAATGGGTGATTTGAATCATGACCACTGCTATTATTTTTATGCGACGCAATTTTTATGTTTAAACCTAAGAGAAATCAACAAAATCATTTCTCTATTTCAAGCTTTTTCTTTCTGAATGAACTGATGAAATGCATGAAGACAAATCAAAACGGAATTTGTGGAAAGGAGCATCAAAATTTTTTGGCATCGTTTATAAAAAAATTCGAACTTTACTTTTTATTTTTCACTAGTAAATTATTTCATTTTTTCTAAAAGAAAAACGCAGCGAAAAACCAAAGTTCCTAATAGCAAAATAGCTGTGCCATCCCACCAGACCCGTCCCTGATTCGAATCTTTATAACCGCTACTTTCTTCTAAAAGACAGGACAAATTATCTTGCAAGTGTATACTCATTTTGTAAAATTTTTAAATAGATGGCGCGCACATACGAATGGAATAATAGATATACAGAAATTAAAGGAGTATCGTGATCAGTTTAAAAGTTACTTCCGTTCTTCGAATCATATAAAATTCATCGTCTTTCTTGCTTTAGGAGAATCTGCTTTTGACTGTGAACTATGTTAAAGCTTGCATTTGTATATACATATTGTTGTTCACTTTGAACGTATTTTGATTTGCTGATATTTGAGAACGGTTGCTAGACGACAAATAATTGTTTGAGAAAAAATGGTTCAGAAAGACGGAGCGAGAGGAAGAGAGAGAAACCCAAACGGATATATGAGCAACAAAGAAAGAAATATTGAATTGTTGTTGCTTTTTTAAAGAAAAATACTATGAGGTGCGCAGAGAGACCAGACTAAACATCTTCGCTAGGTGGTCCGGACAAACTGTCCTTTGATGTACTCTGATATTTGCATAAAAGGGTAGAGTCAATTATAGACCTCGCAACTAAAATTAAATGTTCATATATAGATATGTATGTATGTTAGTTACTTCATAATCAGATTAATTTTGTTAGAGTACAAGATAACTGTCTTTGTCAGCCATTTTCTTTGCTTGATATATTATTTAGTAGAGAGACAAAAATATTTTTTCTGAATATTTTTCAATTTTACGATTGATAAAACTGGTTGTGTTACCATATAAATTATTTTTATTGTTTGAGTTATTAAAAGGAAACCTTACATGTGGTTTGAGATCCATTTATTTGAGTGTCTTCGTAATTTTCTTTTCATTCTTTTAATTTTTAAAAAACAACAAATATGGACAAAAATACTTTGAGATTGTTGTTGCACATGATATATAGTAAAAAAGAATGAATAAAATATTCAATAACTCTATTTACTCTATAATAGAGTATAATACTTGTTAGTTTTTTTGTCTAAAGGAAAATAAGAAAGAACAACAACTTTATAGCGAAAGAAACATGTTTTTGTCTGCTCAAACATGATGACATTCATTAATAGTATGTATTTTAATGTTATTTTTGTTAATAAAAATTAGAAAGAGGAGATGAAAGGCGTACATGCTTACTAGATCCACAGGCTTTGTTAAATAGTCCCCGTATTTGACCTTTAAGAAAAAAGTGAGGTATGAAGTAGATAAAAAATTATCATTGTTTTTTACCAGATCCCAGAACGATTATGTAAACATTATTTCAATTAGAATTTGAATAAAAGAACAAAATTTCATTGTACATGTTTGGAGAAAAGATAAACATTATTCTTTCTGGATTTTTCTTTCTCTTCTTCTAGATTTTGTCATCGAACTACCCTTGTTTCATTTCATTGCTAATGTAAAAAAAGAAATATCTGTTAATGAATTCTTTAATTAATGTCATTTATTCTCTTGTATGTATTTGAAAAGACGTATATCCGATTTCTATAAGAGACTCTTTTTCATCAATTTCTAGTGGATAATAACAACTTTATCAATATTAAAGCCAAATGCCAGCAATAGAAAGTGATTCAAGCGAGACAAGTAGTTCGGATGATGAGATTGAATCAACTCTTATTTCCAAAACTGTTGGTGAACTAACATTAAAAGATGATGAAAATATTTCGTATCTAGCACAACTGCCAGATGATTATGAAGAAGGTGGAGAATCAGATGATGATCAGAGACTTCCAAGAGTAATTCAGTCATCATCGTTCGGTCAACTGGATGATGATACAGATTCAAAAAAGAAACGTAAAAAACGAAAAAGAACATATTTTATATGTGTTTCAATGTGCAAATATGAATGTGTTAGAAGAGCAGCAAAACGTCTTAATTTTCGTGAAGTAGGCGACGATGATGATTGGAATGTATATTGGACAGATACAAGTGTAGGAATAGAGCGTGTTGCACAAATGAAAAAGTGGCAGAAAATAAATCATTTTCCTGGAATGAGTGAAATATGTCGAAAAGATTCATTAACACGAAATATGTCTCGAATGATGAAAATGTTTCCAAAAGAATATAATTTTTATCCAAAAGCTTGGTGTCTCCCGGCTGATTATAGTGATTTTGGCAAATATTGTCAAGAAAAAAAGTATAAAACTTACATTAGTAAACCAGATGTAGGATGTCAAGGACGTGGAATATTTATTACAAGAAATCCACAAAAAGACATTAAACCACAAGATAATTTTGTTGTACAGTTATACATTGCTAGGGTACGTTTATTATACGTCATATATCATTTCACTCTTAATAATAATATAAATTAATATTTTTGATCATTTCAGCCATTTTTAGTTGATGGATATAAATTTGATTTACGTGTTTATGTTGCTGTGACGTCATGTGATCCATTTCGTATTTTTGTTTATAAAGATGGTTTAGCTCGATTTACTACTCAACATTATGAAGAACCAAGTACATCAAATTGTAAAGATATATTTATGCATCTAACAAATTATGCTATTCAAAAACGAAGCGATGATTTTATTCGTGATGAGGATACGGGCACAAAAAGACGAATAACAACAATCAATAAATGGTTAGTTGAACATGGTGTTGATATTAATAAATTATGGTCAGAAATTGACGATATTATTATTAAAGTTTTAATATCAGCACATTCTGTACTTAAACATAATTATCGAGCGTGTTTTCCAAATCATTATCGTGGTAGTGCATGTTTTGAAATACTTGGATTTGATATTTTATTAGATCGAAAATTAAAACCATATGTTCTAGAGGTATATTATTGAAATATTAATATCTGTTTCATTTTTTTTTTCTATTATAATAATTAATTTTTTAAGGTTAATCATTCACCTAGTTTTACCACAGACTCAAAACTTGATAGAGAAATTAAAGATGCATTAATTTTTGATACATTATTACTATTAAATATGCCTGCTGCTGATAAACGAAAATTTCTTGAAGAAGAAAAACGTAAAGCAAAAGACAGATTATTTCATAAAGCAGCTGGAAAAAAAGATAGCAAGTAAGAAATAATAACTAATATTTTTATTATTTAATTAACTATTAAAAACATTTATTTTTAAATAGATTTCGTGAAGAACAAGAAGATTTAGCTCAACAATGGCAAAAAGAAATTGAAAAATGGGAAGATACACATAGTGGTAATTATCGACGAATCTATCCGGGACCAACAACAGATCGTTATGAAAAATTTTTTACACAAAGTGGTACACTCTATTCTGAAACAGCAGCCTCAAAAGCAAGATTAGAACAAGCACGGTAATAAAAATTAAATTCATTAGAATTGAGAAAATAATTAAACATATATTCTTATTTTTAGAGCGCAAATAGATGAATTACAACGAAATCAAGATAAAATAAATGCATTTAAAAATAAGAAAACAAATAATTCACGTGAATTATGTGGAGAAAGTCCAACAAGACGACCATTAGCTAGTTTAAAATCATCAAGAAGTTCATCATTCAATCGAACACCATTAAAACGATTAACAGCAGTAGGTTGATTTTAATAGTTCTAAGAAAAATAATTAAAAAAATGAACTGATTTTTAAATCTACTATAAAATTTTTCAATTTTGTAATGACTTAAAAAATGTGAAATAATCATTTAGAAAATGGCATTTAGTCATGGTAGTGATGGCAATACGGTAACCACTATAGTTGCACTAAAGCAGACGTTACAACTACAGCTTTAAAATTCTTCACTAAGCAATATATTGCTCATTCAATTCTATTCTTATTTCTGAGTGTAGTAATAAACACAATACACATATCTATTAGCAAATATAGACGTATATAAAAGTACTTGTTTTCACCGTCTATTGTTTGTAAATTTCTCATAATTGTTAAATGCTTTTGGACTGCTCATAAATATCAGTATTTTATTAATAATTGAAAATTTGAATCTAATAAAAAATCTTATTTCTCATATTTAGAATCAAAATATAAAATGTCCAGTAATGCCCTATGGTGATTCGGGAAAAGCTGTTGAAATTGATGAAAATGAAGAACTTGAAAGAATAATGAGTTTAAAACAACGTGAAACATTAATACGTGGAATGGGTATATCTATAATAATAATTTTAAGTCTCATATTTATATATTTATATTCTAGGTATAATTGACATGTGTCATAGACTATTGTTTGGAACAGCAGGCACAATTGCCAATCTACCACTAACATCCAATTATACTAATATGGTAAATTATTATATTAAATTAAACTTAAATAAGATTTTTGTTTTTTAAAATTTACAATTTATTTTAGCCGCCTATTAATTTAAGTAATGCATCTCATAATCTCTCATTATTGCAATATGTTGGCTCTTCAAAACTACCACCTAATCGTTATAGTGGAACAGCTGTTTTACAACAATATTTTACAAATCAAACACAACCAAAATTAGAGGTTCGAACAAAAAATGTGCATATATTCGATGAAAAAGTAGGCTCGAATATACGAGGAGGAGCTTATCATAAAAAATGTATTCAACTTTTTATATTAATAATTCTCTACTTCTTTTTCTTTTTTTTTAGGGTTCAACAACGAATAGTGGATCTCGAAATAGTCGATATCAACGTAGTGGAAATACATCTAATCGGCATAATATGTCATCATCAAACTATTCGCTTATGTTACCACATGACGATACATTGAACAGTGCGAATATCTCTCATAATTTAGCGATACATGCTGAACGTCCCGATCGATTTTATCTACCAAATGCCTTACCACAGACAACTACAACTCTATTACCTAAAACAGGATTAGACATACGAACAAAAAGTGCAAATACTATTCCTCGTCAACGGACAGGTTTGTTCGGTTAATGAAGCAACAATGAAAACAATATTTATGCATGTGTTAATATCCGACAATGAGTAACACACACAAACATCTATCTGCTGCATGTTGTATCCTTTCCCTCTACACAAGCACATAACTTTCATTTCTTGCATGATACACATATTTAATTTTAAGTTTTTTTTTGTTTGGAAAATCGACTATATTTAATAGAATTATGTTGATGTTTGTTGTGTTCATTATATTTTTTTAAATTCGATAAAAGAATCTAAACATTTCTCTTGTTATACTATTCTATTTTTTATTGCACATATTTTATATTAACTTCTTCTAGCTTTGCATAAACTTATCAACCAAACTATTACCTCATTAGTAAGTTAGACATAGATATACAGATTTCTATTAAAACTTTTTGTTTTTTCTTCTCTACTGTTGATGATTTTATAGACAAACTTAATAGTGTATTTATATGAGTGATACAATGTTGCTACAATTTTGATAGGATAAAGTTTTTTAAATTCATAATGATCGTTTATCTTTGATATTGAAATTGAGATCATTTTTCATCGAAAAATTATTCTATTATCAATATTTTCACAAATAGCATGTAATATACCATAAAATGATATAGTTTTTACAGAGAATTTGAGAAAATAGTTTCTCTTTTTTAGCTTCAGTACTTCTTTTCGTTTTTTAAATATTCTTTTGTGTATGCATCGACTACTTGCTCTTATAATGCGATGCTCGTTTCTTTATTAGAATAATGAAAGTACTTTTTACTATCATAATCTTGAGAATGTATTTATACAGATTTTCTTTTCTCTAAACTAGGTTATGTGATAACGTACGGCGTAAATGGAAACGTTTTGTCAAATATGGGTAAGTGTAAAGATATAATTAATCTAATAATAACGTATCCATAAAAAAGCTAGACGTAAAATCTCTCGAGACACCATGGAGTTTGAAAGAAGAACAAAAATTTGATCACACCTAATTCTATAGGTATCCTTATATATAAATGGCATAGTTTCAGATTTAATGTAAGTTTAATACAAACAAATCATACCGCTGATCTAAATCTACCGTATTAGAATTTTTATAGATCTTTTTATATATTTAGTGGATAATTCAAAAGAAATCGTCATAAACGGTGAATCGGTATCCGTTCAGAAGAAACTACAAATGTACGATACTGATTCATATGAAAATTTAAAAAAATTACAACTAATTAAACTTCCATCCTCAAACAAAGTGCATACAGATCAATAGAAACAAATTTCATCATCTTTATAATGAATTTTTATAGTTTTGATAATTAACTATAAGTTGTCTCTTCACATTTTGTTTGTTACGTTTGACAACATAATTATCCCCGTGATTATTAAGTACAATTTATTTTTAAATCTCTTTTGGTATTTCTCATTTTTACTATTTGTTAATTTTTTTGTTTTCTTCAGTATTGTCCAGTACTTAATCGGTTTTTGTAATTCGTTTTGATAAAAACGTAGTTAATGTTTACACATAGTTTTTGGTGGTTTTTATTGTGAATATTTTAAAGCCAATTATTTTTCTATTAATATATACGAGAGAAATAGAGAAAAAAAAAAGATTTTCATTCATCTCTAATATACCTTCATCTTATATCTACAGAACTCAACTCTCTTTTTCATGTAACTCTGAAAGTGTATTGTTGTTCATAAACTATTTTATCATTATTTTCATATTCATTACCGCATTTATTTAAAACTATCAAATATATAACGTACTAATCTGCAAAAAATCAAAGAACAAAATTGAACAAAAATACAAAAAATACATTGTATTAAAACAAAATAAGTCGCGCATGTAAAAACTGTTTCAAAATAATCAAACTAATTATTCTATCGTAAAAAAAAGAATAACTTCGGTGTTTTTATTAACTTCTGGACATCTGACATAAGGACAAAGATTTGCGAACAATTTCAAATGGATTGACTATAACAAATTGCTAAACTACAGTCGAATTATATGATGTACTTTGTGACATTAAAGGTGGAGAGTCGTAATTATTTTTGATATTTTGATTATAACAATCGTTTGGTGAAGAAAATGTGGTTACTTTATTGAGTAGACTAGAATGCGGCGATAATATATCATCATCGGTACGTAAAAAGTTTTTCGTATACGATGTTGGCAACATATTTGCTCGATATGATGTTCTTGTACAATTATTGTTTGCTTCATCACGTGTCATATAAAGTTTTTCAAAACGTTCAAGCGCATAATTAGCAGTTGTATCCGACGGAGACATAGTTCTATTTGAATCAAATTGTGGTTTAAAATAATTATGTTCACTATTTTGTGATGTGGATGCATTTTTTGTGTCTACATTTGTGTCAAGATTAAACCGTACTCGTCTAGATTTGAAATCTTTTTCATCAACAGGCGAATTGTCTGTTGTTAACTCTAATGAACCAACAACATTCTGACAATTATTATTATCGAGTCGATTTAATAATGATGTAAACGATGAGATTTGAGATGATGCACGTGTTAGCGTTGAAAGACGATCTAAATTACTGTTCAGTTGTTTGGCTAATATACCTTCTTTCATCAGTGTATAGGGTACAGAATTTGGACTCATAGGTGAATATGCATTTGTTGAAAGTGTTCGTGGTCTCAATTGTTCTGGACAATCATCAGAAATATCACTTGAACCACAAAATCCATCATCGGAACTAGCTCGAGTACAACCGCTTTGCTGATTTCTTCCATCAATCGTTGTTAGTGTATAATGTGGTCGACGTAATTCATTTGGAATGTCTTGATTTTGTCGTGTTTGATTTGTATTCAAAATTCGTGATGATAATGATGATTCTAAATTTGAATTACTATTACATTGTGCATTAGCAGATGTTGTAGTAGAAGGAGCCGGTAATCGTGTCAATGAATGAAATGTATCAACATCATGTGGAAATAGAGAGCTTGATCTTGTCATTGATCCGGTGGAATTTAATAGCCACGATGAATATATCTCAAAATAGAAATAAAAAGAAGAAAAAACTAATAATATTCTAGTTATTTATTGAATTTTTCTTTCCTTACCTTTTGTCGTTGTTCATCTGACAGATCTTTTTCATGTTCATTTAATTTTTCTAGTAAACAACATGCATCATATGTATTTTTTGTTGATCCGATTATTGGTACTGTTGTTTCTTTATTTAGTAATAGTAATGATGTTGGTGAACTAGATAGTGTGCCTGTTGTCGTTGTCATTGTATCTCCAAAATCATAACAATTACTAACTCTTAAATTTTGTCGTTTATCTGTTGAACAACGATTTTGTTTAAACATTGCTGATAATAATGAATTTTCGGATTGCAATGATGATGATGAGAGAATATTGCCATAAGATGATGTTGATGATGTTGTCGATGATGATGATGTCGTTTGATGTTGATCATCAGTAACACTTGTTGTAAGAATTTTTTCATGTTTTTTTCGTTTTAAACGATTTCTTCTCAATAGTGATATAAATATAAACGTAATACCAATTAGTATAATACTTAGGACAACGATAACAATAATTGTTATAAATTTACTCGGTACACTGTATAATAATAAACGATCTTGTTCATCACTCAATGTTTTCTTTTTTGTATTATCATTTAACATTTTTTCATACGCATCACGTGCTTGTAGATTATTTAAATGACTACCCAAATAATCATATTTTTTCACCACTGCTTGAGTATCTTGGTAATTATTTACAACGATTAATTTCAATAATTTTTCATCAAAAAAATCAGTACGTCCTTGATCAATCACTTTAAATGCCAAATAATAGACACCTTCTTCTAAATCTTGATAATAACTACGTTTTATTCTGTTTCTACTATTATTTCTTGGTTTATCTGTTACATTAAAATATAAACGTATACCTTCCAGATAGAATTTGTTCGAATCAAATTTAGATAGCTTTAGTTTATCTTTCAAATATTGGTAATTAACGAGTTGATTTAAATCTGTAATTAATTTTAATCCATAACTTGCATGATGTGCTTCATCACCATCGAATATTAAAATATCACAAATAAAATCGTTTAAATGCCAATAGGTACGATCAATAATCAACGTATCATTATTATCATTTGGAAATAAAAATTTTGGACATTCATCATTAACACTAAAAATTAACATACAATAAAGACTAATGAAAATGATGTATGTGAGAAAGTTGAGTAGAAAACACTGATAAAAATAGAAATATGATCATTAATGATTATCCATTTCCAAATTCTTTTTGAAAGTAGGGATTTGAGAACGAGAGCTTAGAGAAAATTCGATCTAATGCTTAAAAACGTAAAATGGCAAATAATACTAATAGTAGATAGCCCAATGTCTGCTCGTCCATATGGAAGTCAAATAAGATCTTGATTTTCAGCAGTGTGATATCATATTTTCCTGAAGTATTTGAACTAGAGTAATGGGTAGCTTGAGGAACATACCAGAACTCCGTATGGATTGGACTGAAAATTTTTTGAGCTCATGAACTCGGACTGGACTGGACTCAAACTTTCAAGACCATAGACCGATCCGGATTCAAAAAAAAGTTTTAGATTCACTTAAATCAAGGAATAATCAGTAAAAAGCATGTTGTTTTGTATTGTTGACTGAAATGGACTACTTTTTTAGAGCCAATGGACTGAAAAAACTGTTTTTCATGGACTCGGACTGGACTAGATTTAACTCAGAATTTTGAGCCCATATGGCGCTCTGGAACATACGTAATCGGCTATGCTGAAACTGCATTCAACTTTCTGTTTGATAAAGTTCAAAAACCTGCCAAAAACAGAGTTAGTTAAACATTAGAATATCCAGACTGTTTTCACCTTGATTCAAAAACATTCATAACTCACTCAAAATACATCACAGCGAGCTCAGAATTGAGTGTACAACTAGTTTTATCCTCTGAATGTGGTTGGTTATACGATCAATACATACAAAAGCAATGTTTTTATTGGAAAGTTTTTTCTAGGGGGAGAAGGATCTATTACTCTTCTTTGAAAAGTTATTCAAAAACTATCTATCTAAGTGCAGTAGTTCAAAACCTAGAATATAATAAAAACGATGAACATACTCGTAAATTTTTAAATGTATTTTTGCTTTGGATGACAATGATTTGGGTTGACCACGATCGAATGCAATAACATTAAAATTATATTCATCAAATTTTTCACGATCAATTATTTCATTTACGTATAATTTACCATCTTTAGTTATCAAAAATAAATTAGATGGAATTGAATCTAAACGATATTGTACTTCACCATTTAAACCACTATCTAAATCAATGGCTTTCACTTGACCAATATACGTATTAGGTGAATTATTTTCATAAATTGAAAATGAATAAGTTGGAGTTGTAAACTAGAAGTAGATAAACAAATAGTTTTAAATAATTTTATATTTCTTTCTTCTTTATGTTAAATTTCATATTTTCTTTTAAAGATTTTAGTTTATCACTGAAATTTGAACATCATAAAACTAGTATTCTCACTATTTCAAGAAGAAAATGAATCTCCCATTGAAAAATAAGTTGACTAATAACTATAATTACCTGAGGACTATTGTCATTTTCATCAATTACGGCTACATTAACAATTGCACTAGCATGATGTGATTTTGGTTTACCATTATCTGTAGCAATAATTTTAATCGAAAAATTTTTTAATATTTCATAGTCAAATTGAATATTTGCACGTATGATGCCTGTATGTGAATCAATCCATACAAAATGAATAGGATCTAGAGTGTTTGATGTCTCAGATGTTGTTGAAACAATGGTATATGTAATTCGTCCATTGTGTTTTATATCTAAGTCTGTTGCATGTACTTGTATTAATGTTGCATTAATTTCATTATTTTCTTTAATATCGACAAAATACATCTCAGAATCAAATATTGGAAAATTATCGTTCTCATCATCAACTTGAATATGTAATTTATATGTTGTTGACAATTGTGGTTGACCATTATCTGTTACTGTTACAATTAAATCATACGTAGACTGTATTTCACGATCAAGAATATGAGCTGTAACAAGAACAAATGTTGAATCAAATGGACCTAATATTTGAAAATATGTTGTCACTGGTAATGATTGTTGTGATTCTAATTTGATCGTAACACGAAACGGAGGTATCGGTATTCCATCAGTATCAACAGACGGTTCTAATGGAGGTGTATCGAGATCAGATGCTACTAAATTAGCCACAACAAATCCAACTGGTTTATTTTCTGGTATAGCAATCGTTAAGACATTGTTTGACGATGTTTCATTTGTGATCGTTGTTGTTAGATCATCAATAAGTTCATCCAATGATATTGTATCGTTTAATAATTGAACAGTTGTTGGTATATTCCAGTTTAATATTGGTGCATTATCATTCAAATCTTCAACATCGATAATAACATAGGCAAAAACAGGTATCGCATTAGATCCATTATCTTGTGCTTGTATTACTAATTTCCACATATTTTGTGTCTCATAATCTAATGTTTTTATTAAACTTAACCAACCTGTTTGTAAATCAATTTTAAAATAATCAAAATTTTTTTTTGAATTTTGTGCTGCTAATGAATAACGTATTTCTCCATTAATTCCAATATCTTTATCAGTTGCTTTTACTTGTAAAAATTTTTCCCATAAACGATTTTCTTCTATTTTAATTCTATATGTTGTCTTTTCAAATTGACATGTATTATCGTTAATATCAAGAATATTGATAACAAGTATTGTCGATGTTTTACTTTGTGAATTTTCATTTGCTTGTAATTTTAGACGATATTGATCACGTTGTTCACGATCAATATCCTGTTGAACAATAAGATTTAATTGATTATTACGATTTATTGATTGATTTAATTTAAATGGAAAATAATCATCATCATGAATTATAGAATTATTTAAATAGTGTAATTCATAATGTATAGAATTACAATCATAATCAATTGCTTTAATAACATCTAACGGAATATTTGTTCCCAATTGTACATGTTCGGTAACATTAATAATATATTCTTTATAATTAAAATAGGCTAAATTATCGTTAATATCTAAAATATGTATGGGTAATAAAAATACACTTGTATTTTGAGGTAATACAATTTCAATTTTTAATGTAATATTACATAATTCACATGATGATGAACATAGAGTATCACGATCAATTCTTGTACGAGTTGTTAATTGACATTGTTGATTTGATTGTATATGAAAATAGACATTCTCAGTTTGTAATAGACAACGATATGATTTTAAATTAGATAAATTAAATTGTTGACGAAAATCTGCAATCAATGTACCAATTGGTAATTCTTCTTCAATATCAATAGTGGGTAATGAAACAAGTTCACCATGAATATATGATATTAGAGCGAAGATAGTCAACAACTTCTTCATTATCGTATCGAATTAATACCTATTGAATTTGTTTTGACACACATATCTAAAAAGAAATTCTTTAATCAAATTATTATTGTTTGTTTGTTTGTTGTTGTTTTTTTTGGGATAAAATGACTGTAAAATGGTCATACTTCATCAATGATTATTTTTATTCTATCTTACATAATAATTTTAGCTATAAGGTAAAATTCGGGAATTTGTTAAACACAAGTGAATGTAATGAAAAACATAGAAGAAGAGGTGTTGGACAAATTTTAGAACTGAAATTTTATTCGTTAATAGGACTTACGTTTTGTAACGGAGAATGAACGTCATGCAAAATAAATTTTCTTTAATACAACAATAGTAGTGAATAAAATTTAAATAAATAACTCTAGTTTTGACCAAGAGTATTCACTTCATTAACTTTATTCAATTTTAATAGGACAAGGTTCTATGTTACATAGATATTATTAATTCTACGTAATCCTGATGATTGAACCGATATAACATGAAAATTCTTATACATTATTTAGAAATAAGAAAAAAAAGTATAATCAGGTAACATATCGAAAACCATAAATTGTTAAAAAATGGCTTATTAACAGTGTTTACCAAGAGTAAAAATGAGAGTAAATTAAAAACCTATTAGCAAAAATAAGGAAATTGAAAATAATTTAGCTTTTTTTTTTCTTTTTCTTTCTCATTCGTTCATAGAAACAAAAGATTATTATTGAAAGAAAACATGATAAACAACTTGTCATTCTATACTTTTGAACTCTTTTTGAAGTCAAAAATTATTTATTAAGTACAGAAAGAAATGAGCGTGAATGTCACATAAATCTTAATTGAATTTCTCACACATGTAAGTTTCAAGGTTAAGAATATCATATATACAAAGTAAGCAGATGGGTAGTATGAATGACAAAACTATACTAATGATATTCAGTTTCCGTTTCCTTGTTCGTTTAGTTTTTGTTGACACCTGATCAATATACAATAGTAGAGTTTCTTTCTCTTTTCTTTTTTTTTTTCCTAGAAATATCAATGATAAACAAATTACAGGCATATGTCTGGTTATTATTCCCTAATAGAATATGAACTACTACTGTTGATAAAATTAGTTGGAACAAAAACAACTTGTCCAAAGTTGTTTATATAAAAAAAAAAGAGATGTATCTAATTTGTATCTTTTACTTATGTATGTGTGTTTATGCGCCCTTTGAACATTAATGTTCTCTATTAGACGATGACCTCAACTATATAAGCCGATAGCTTTATTCAATATTACTTGTGGTAAAAATGTTTAAAAATAATAAAAAAATTGTAATTGTTTTAATGGTATAAATGCTAATCAACACAATTTTCTCTATGTGTGAATAATTAAATAATGTCAAAAGAAAAAAAATGAGTAGTTGTACGATCTATTTAAAGATTTTTCATATGAATTAAAATATTTTTCGCTGTTTTTACACAAGACAAAGCATTTAAGAGACACTATCATCGATAGAATCCGTATCCTAAAGTTTTTCCAGTTTTGATGCATGTATGATTTCGGATGTGGAAATTATAGCTCTAATCTTCTATTGATCTGATTCTAATCGTCTCAGTAAATAAATAGTAACATCCTTTTTCTCTTTTTTCTTTTATTATCTCTGCATACATCATCGATACCTAAGAATTATCAATAAAACTTCAATCTTCATAAAGGTGTTGTTACTTCTTCATCAAATAAGGATGAAAAAAAAAAAAAAAAAACGAGAAAAAGAAAATCCTGAAAACAAAGTTTTTTTTTTTGAAGTTAAATATGAAATATATATTTGATTAAGCGATATAAGAAGATTCTTTTCTGATAGTGGTCAATAAATACGAACTGTTGAAAAAGAACCGTATGTATGTATATCGGTCAGAATAAATCTCAAGTGATTTATTATTCATCGTTTACTTACTTACTTACTTACTTTCTTGCTTACTTTTACTTTTTTTTCAATCATCTTCATCTAAGAAACTCTCTGTTTTGACAATGAAGAAAAATAATTGATGAGCTCCACATATACATATAAGCAACCTTCAGGGTGTATTAGATGTGATGGAGTAATTGATTGTTCAACGAAAAAAAAGAAGAATGAATGAAAATATTTCAATCTCGATGATACAAGACCAAAATATAGGAAATGATCCGTATTATATGTCAAGGCTATAAAAAAACGGGTTTTTCAGTCGACATATACTCGACGGAGATAAACATGTTTTAATTAATTTCGTATATTTAATAGATAAGAAATTTAAATAATTATGTGTCAACTTTAATCATACAAATTTCCGCTATTGAACAATCTCATTTCATATTTTGAATGTAGACAAACGGCAAATAAATTATAGATGGAAATACCAATAAACGTAACTTTTAGCATTTTTTAGTCTCCAACTGAGAAAACACAGTCAGATCAATTACAACAGGTTTTTCAAAAGATTATATGATGAAAAAAGACCACTGTCCATAAAGGTTATGCCTTTGAGTTTAATCATGTACAATTCAATCATGGATAGATACGAAATTAGCCGTGATCGTCATATCCTGTTGTTGTTGTTCATTTATAATCTTTTATATGTACTACCCCATATAGTTAATGGAAAATGTATAGAATAATAAATTAGAATGACTCGATGATACCACTTATTAAAATATTAAGCAACCTGCAATGAATATATAAACAATCTCTATCGGACACAACATTAATTTTTATTAAAATATCAATCAAAACACGAAAAAGATATGGTGAGAGTAATTATTATCAAGTATAGTTCAGACATAAGTTTATACTCGACAAGATTAGATATCGTAAGAGAAATAGATGTGGCTTCCTCGACAAAGCCTCTGGAATATGAATCTTTTTCTATTTCTTAAAAAAAAGAAAGCGTCACAGCATATACGAGACGCGTCTAATAGTATATTCTGTCTATAGAATGAGTTGTTTAAAAATGTCCAATAAGTGTCTTATTTGATCATTTTCAATAAAAACTGAACTTTTTCAGAAATTGGCACCAGATTGTTTACTCTGAGTGTTAAAAAAGTTGCCTTCTCAAATAATTCATGATTAAGAAAATTATTACGAAAAAAATTATTTACTCTTTATCTTTACCTGTTTTTTTGACTGTATTGTAATAAATATTTACTAATTTTGTTAAATGTTAGTGTAAAAACGTGTTGATAATATTTGTCTAAAGTTCTTTTACAAATTTTCTCTCTTTCTCTTTTCCTCTATTTGAATATTAATCTCAATTTGCAAGTCGAATGCCATTGTAATGAATTGAACATATTAATGTTGTTGCATTGTATAGTTTTTATATCGATTTTTATATATCCATCTATACACATACAGAAAATAAATTACGCTTCATTAGAGAAGAAAAAAAGTAATATTACATCTTTATAAATAATTACGTAATAATTTATATATCGATGAAAATTTTATTAAATAAATAAAACAAAATTATTTTGACGATTTTATAAAAAAAAAAAAAAAAATTATGTTGAACTCTTCATATGTATGATGATGATTGAATTTCTCAAATGAGTGCTTATTTCTTTTGTGTCACAAAACAATCGACATTGGAATGCTGTGATCAGGAGAGATATCATATATGGAATATTGAAAAGAAAAGGAAAAAAAAGAAAAAAAAAAACGAGAAGTGCCTGTTCAATATTCTTTCTCTCTATGTATTTTGGATCAAACTAACAGAGACAGAGAGAGAGAGAGAGAGAAAAAGAGAGAGAGAAAGAGAATGAGAGAAAAAAAAAATAATGTTCACATTAAACGAAGACGAAGATGCAATTGTACACATTTTTATTCTCTCGTTGGAAGACTATTTTCTACCACAGCTGTTGTAGATTTAAAGTATTTTTTTATCTATTATTTTATTTTGTCCCATTATCCGGTTAAAATTATATTCTGTTACACAATGACATTACAAAGAAATTTTAACAATTGCTTTTGACCACTCAATAACAGACCGATCCTTTAATCATAAAGACAATTTTCATGCTAAATTAATATTACGAGTGTGCACTGTTTTATAAAAGACAATAATTTTGTAAACGGAAACGGGGAAAAATGATAATATATGCAAAGAACCGGAACTATTATTTCTATAGTTTACCTCTTAATTTCATTATTATTTATTCGTTAGACTATTTCTTTTTTTAGTGTTTTTATTTTTAATAATGACACTAATAGTAGTGTACAACTATCTGCTCTACTGGTATCTCTCGCTCTTCTCCTATATAAACGACAAAACATATTTCTCAGTTAAAGATCAAAGATCGACATTATTATATGTGTCATGCTAATTTGTCTGATGAATAGATCAAAAAAAGTGTACACATATGCACAAATATCATGCTGATACTACAATAAATCACCTTGTCTTTTAATAGAATCCGTATATGATTAATTAATGACTAAACGTACAACTGTAAAAACGATTGTCCTTTGGACTAATTTATTTGAAATTTTTTTTTTTTCTATTAGAATCAACATTCGATCTAAAGATCGTAAAAGAATGAGTGAAATATAAAGAATAAATGGTTAGAAGATAAACAGTATCAATAAAAACAACAATTCAGCTGTCACACCTTTCAACTCTATTACGTTATGTCTCCCTAGAAACACTTTTATTTATCTTTTGCCGAAACGTAGTTTAATGATGGGTGTATATCGCTTAATGATGAATAAATAATAAATTTTATTAATTCTTCTGACATCTTCTGATTTAACTTTCTGAATATCATAATCAAAGAGATATTTATCTTTAAAGTTTTTCAAAGATGAAAAAACGATTGATATAAACTATTGTTATGGGTTAATTGTAAATTTGATATCTTTCTCCCTCTCTATTAAAATTGAAACTTTGATTATATGCATAACATCAAAAAATAGAAATAGAATCATCACCCTACTGTAAAACAGTATGTGTGTATACTCATCTCTTTCTTCGCACAATTTTTCTCATTTATT